ACAGTCTCCGACCAGAGCTCTCTCCCGCTATCGAATTGGTGCTCAACACCTCCCCACTGCAGCTCACCGAAGCAATCAAGAACCACTTCACGGAGTCCACATCCATCGCACACACGATCCTCCGCCACGAAGCGCAAAGAACAAAATTAGCCATGACCGACTCCCTCGACACCTACCTCCAAACACACAGAAATGTACGCCTACGAATGCGTCTAGCAGACTACCTCCGCATTCAAGAGGACGAATCAACCACCATCGATTTCATGATCCAAGGACTGGACACGCACGAAACTTTCAAACACCTCCAAGACACGTGGATCGAAACCGACACAATGCCAACCACAATAAAAAACCTCGAACGCAGTCTCAAGTCTGTACAAGCCCGTGTCACAGAAAAAGACACCACAACCGCCACAACGCCACAAGGAATCCAGAGCACACCATCAACCCTACCCCAAGACACCATGGAACCAGTACCCACTCACGGCAACGATAACTGTCATGGTATGAAATTCGCATTGGACTGTGGCGCCTACCTGACGCACATTACCCACCCCTCACCCAACATGCGCCCGCTTCGAAAAGTCCTGCGAACTAACACGGCCACATCCATTACCCCACCTGCCACGCATTCTGGCATGCCAGAATGCATGCCAAGTCTGCAGTGTGCACACTGCAGATACCGACGACTTTCAATAAAAAAATTCCCTTCCAGCCATCCCAAACCCCGCGATCAAGATCAACCTAGTCTCCGTACATGATGTCGCCCGCCAGTGCGGCACCGTAGTTTTCACGCCCCACCATGGCACAGTCATCAACACCAAAACAAGCCCCCACTACACTGTCGCCATGGCTACGTTCTCCAAAGGGCTGTACTTCATCAACACCCCCAACCCCACTCTACAGGAAAAAGCAGCGCGCACAATAACCACAACACCAAGACCCACCGCCAGCAACACCTCCCCGAGAAAGACACCCTCCGGTCCCTCCCGACCCAGACCAGGCATCATAAAGCACACAAGTTACGCCTCACCGACCCCACTCTCGCGCAGGAAAACACCCATCCGCTTTCAACACAACCCCGCTGTACCCCCACCGCCAAGTAGACCGCTACTTCTACCACTACCACATGATATTCAACCACATACGACCAGCCACACTACAGACAATGGCCAAACACGGCCTTCTCCACAACCTCCCCCCCTCCCTTACCAAAAGCCCCCCAGACTCACATGGCCCAGCTGTGCCGCAGCCAAGCTACAGCCCGCCCCCCACAAACCTGCAACGCACTCATACGGCACAGGAGAGGCCTATAGCAGCGACATCTGGGGCCCGATCAACCCAGTTTCTCGCCAAGGCAACAAATACATCCTAACCCTCATAGACATGAACTCCCGCTACCTGATCGTCGATTTCCTACCCACCCGCCAAGCAACACCAGATCGCCTCAACCACATCCTCGGCCTACTCAAGCGGCACCGCGGCGACACACCCAAGCTCCTCCATACAGACTACGCCCGTGAATATACCTCCACTACGGCAGCCAGGATCTTCCGCCAACACGACACTCGGCACACAACCACAGTCCCGTACACGCCACAAGAAAACAGTATCGCCGAAAGAAGCAATGCCACAATCATGAACGCCGCGAGAGCAGCCCCGCGCCACAGCCCATTGCCGGCGTCTCACTGGGAAGATGCCGAACGCGACGCAGCATTCAAGTACAATCATGTAATGCACCACAGAACAGACCAGACCCCCACCACAATCTGGAATAACTAAGTCCCACAAGTACCCAAATTCCTCGTCTTCGGACAGCTCGGCAGCACACCAGTGCTCGCAAACCGGAACCAAATATCCAAACTAGAATCCAGATCCAACACGATTCGCTACTTGTACGCGTCAGACCCAACACACATTGTCGTCCTCAAGAAGAAAACCAGAAGAACAAAACGCATCCGCACTGTCAACTTCAGACCATATCACCGCTCACAAGACCGGGCCGCGCACAGCATGGCAGCATTCAAGGCTTTCTCACCCCACCCCACGCCGATCGAGATCACACCCATCACCCCTGCCCCACTGTAGTGCAATGTGCCTGGCAGGCCGCGAACACAGTCCGACGGTCAAACACAAAGAAGAAAAATAGAAACGGAAACGAGCACTGCCGACGGCACGAGCTACGGAGCGTTCGAGACTCCTTTCCCCTTGTGTGGGCTTGCAGCCCACAGTAGCTCAACTCCGACGGGGGGGTAAAGAAAGATGCCCGGCCCGGGAGGATAATGGTGCTAGAGACGTGTGAAGACCTGAGTGCTCGGGGAGTGTGGGTTAGGTTTTTGTACGAGAATGTAACCGCGGTTCGCTGGGTTGTAAGTCCAATGCTCGACGATTGTCTTCAGCACCTTGCGTATGATTCAAGGTCTTCGACGGGGGCTCGATTAGCACTACCCCACGAGAACGTAACTATGTAGCAGCGCCACGACCAACGTGTTGCCCGATGGCAAAACACCGACACCAATGCGATCGCAACCGCGGTTGGTGGTACCAACACTGTCTTGTATGATAAGACCTTCGAAGGAGGCGTCGTGGCAACAGCCTTCCGACGGAACAGGACACTGTAGCAGCGCTACGACCTACGTGCAGCCCGATGGCAATTACACCAACACCGGATTGGTCGCGACCGACTCCAATGGAACCAACACAATTAAGGGAAAAATAGAGGTGGAGATAGAAAAGGATAGGAGTTAGAGATAGAAAAGGTAAAAGGATAAGTAAAGGGGACCCCGAGCGATAGAGGATGTCGTAAGCAGCGTAGAAGTGAAGCGCGTCGCGTGAACGGAAGCGGTCTTCGACGAAGGCGAGATCTAACTCCGGCAACTCGGGTTACCTTTACTCACTTGGGTTGGTAACTGGACTATGCTATATAGCCCCGCCAAGGCGAGTACAGTAGCTCCCGGCTCTAGATTCTAGATCTAATTTGTAAATAGAATTAAATAATTAAAATAATCGTGTGCATCGTTGCACACGTGTCAGCCCGGACCACAGTATCCAACTTTTTTCCTTTTCTCACTTCCTTTCACCCCCTACCCGAGACGGGTATTGCACTACAACCGCTACACCACGGCCAAGCGAAGCGATACCCAGATGCTCGAGAGTGGGAAATTGCCCACACGCGATAAAATGATCTCATACATACACTATGACCCGAAGAAAACCACAACATACATGGTCGACAAAACCACCGTCAGGCTCTTGTTCGCCATCGCGGCATCCCGTCGGCGAGAGATCGAACACGTAGACATCGAAGCGGCATATCTGCACGAAAAATTCCCCCACAATGGAAAAGAAGCCGTATACGTCAGGCAGCACCCGCGGTTCGACGGAAGCCTCAAACATCCCTGCCGAGCAGGGAAACTCGCCAAGAACCTTTACCGGAAACCGCCCGCCGGACACATCTACCTCACCGCTGTATTTGCAGTTCTAAAAAAACGCAACTTCACCTTATCCGAGGCCGACCCGTGCTTGTTCTACCTCTCTACCACGGACCAGACGGTCTTCGTCGGAATCAGTATGGACGACTTCACTATTGCTGTAAACCACAAACGCCTCCTCGATAAATTTGCCAGCATACTGGGGGCCACGTACAAAATGAAACGCCTGGGCGCACACAAATCCTTCGTAGGATGGACAGTACAGCGATCTGAAAAAGGTGATATCCATGTATCGAAATCCAAAGCCATCAACTATATTGTACAAAAAGGCAGACATGGCAACTTGCAACGGCAAACCAACCCCATACAACGATGGAGTAAGGTTCCACGGACCAACCGAATCAGACACCAGCACCCGCAACACACAAAGCAATACAAGGAACTGCTTGGAGACATCCGATACATCGCCGATTCCACAAGGCCCGACATCTACTTCCTCGCCAAACGCCTTTCCGTCGCATCAAAAACCCCGACTGAAAGACACTGGAACGCTCTGAAACGTCTTATCCGGTACCTGAAACACACACCAAACCACTACCTCCTTTTCAAAGCAGGACCCCACCAACTCCCCCGCCAACCTTCCCACCATCCCCCACCTAACATTCTCCACTCATACACCGAAGCCGACTTGGCAGCAGATGTCAAAGCCCGCAAATCAATTTCAGGCATGATAAACATATACAACGGAACCCCCATATGTTGGGGATCCATGAAACAATCCATAACAGCGCTATCCACCTGCGAGGCGGAATATATTGCTGCAACCTCCACCGCAGAGCAGACCACATGGATACGCCGAATCCTCCAAGACATCTATATGAACCTCAAAGAAGCCACCCCACTCTTCATGGATAACCAGGCAGCAATCCGCATCGCAAACAACACAGGACCAACCAAGAGACGGGAATTCATCGACTTCCGCCACCATTATCTCACGCATCTCACACGAGCTAACAGAATCCGCATTTCCCACATCCCCAGCTCTGAAATGCTCGCCGAAATCCTAAAGAAACCCCTGAAACGCCTCGCATTCACAAACCTATCACGAAAACTACAAATCACAAACCAACCTCCTCCGGCACCCATCAAACCAGCGGATCGCGCCTCAGCGACGGGGGGAGTGTCATGATGGCCATAACTCAGTAGTGTCACTTCCGCGCTCCCGCTCACTTAACGCCACAGCCATAGTCATGATAGCCATAGTCAGCCATACGTGTCCACGTAACACACGCACACACGCCGCTCGTCACACGACGGCGGCGTCTGCCTGTTTAGGCGATCCGGCTTCGAGCGGACAACGTGGTGCAGGAACGATGGGGCAGTCTTTACTGTCTGGGTCTACTCTCTCACTATTAAGTCTACTGGTCTCACGCCGGCGGATGTGAGCCTGTGCGTGTGATACGTGTGCTATATGTGCAGATTCTAGATCTAATTTGTAAATAGAATTAAATAATTAAAATAATCGTTCGCATCGTTGCACACGTGGGTCCTCCAGCCCGGACCACAGTATCCAACTTTTTTCCTTTTCTCACTTCCTTTCACCCCCCTAACCGAGACGGGTACTACATATCCCCCTTCTGAGCGTCCTTGCCCATCGCCAACTCCTCGTATAATCTTCCGATTTTTTTCCCCTTCCACCTCGCGCGTCCATCCGTCGTCCTCATCCTTCGACCGAAGGTCTCCCCCTGCACTATCTGCTGCTGCTTTCCCTCCTACCAGCGCGCGGGTACCCCTTTTTTCTTTTTTAAAAGGGCGGTCGAGCAAGGACAAGACGACTCTTCCTCCCCGTGGCTGATGTCTGACACGTCTGTCCCTCCATCGGGACCCCATCCGAACCGAAGGACCCCCGTGTCCGGCGATGTCGTGCCGGTGTGGGATTCTCATACAAGTCCAGCTACCCTCAAGGGCTCCCCTCAATCCACCGATTACCTCCTCTTATTTGTTGCTTTCTTGGTGCGCCTCCGTCACTGCAGTCGCACCCTCTTCGTCCCTTTTTTCCTCCTCTTTTCCTCAGTACCTTCTCTTGTCCTTTGCTTTCTCGTCAAGCCGAGTCCCCTTGTTACCGTCTTCAGTTACCCCTTTTCGTCTTGTTAATTTCCTCCTCTTTTCCGTGCTTACATCAGCACGCGTACTGAGCTGTCCTCGGTTTTCATACTGTTCCCTGAAGGACGTAGCAGAGCACGAGACTCCTCAGACTGTCCATCTACTTGCGGTCCGACAGGGTTCCGATGTACGGTTTGGGGGTGTCGCCTCGGGTTGAGCTCGATCGAACACAAAGGTTTGAAGCGAAATTGACACGTGGACAAGTGTCACTGCCTGCCCTGCGCCTCCTCCCTGTGGTGTCGAAATTTGGACGAAGTGGGCGAGCTTTTTGGTTAAGTCTTTTTGTGTGAGTGCCATACTTGGACCCCTGCGCGACCTCTCCATTTGTTTTGTCCTTGGTATAGCTTTTGAAGAGGGGGTGTCCCAATAGCCTTCGTCAACGTCCGTTTTCGGGACGTTGACAACGTGTTTGGTTACTTTGCTTCGTGCTGTGTCCTCCTGTGTGGTGCACACCGATTCTGTTCCGGGTGCTGATGTGTGTCGTGGCATACCATAAGTCCATTTAGCGCTGCGCCGTATGATCCCTCCAAAAAAAAAAATATATATATATATATATATATGGATACATATTTGTCAACGGCTTTGGGAGCGTGTGTCGTCAAGTTAAATTGACAGTTATGGTGTCGAGATGGGTGTGAACCCATCCATTTTTGCCACGGCACAAGCTTCGTGGAAACATTCCGTTGCGGAGGTCGATTCACATGCTCCCACCGCCGGTAGAATCGTCAGTCGATTCAGCGATACTATTTGGTGCAATGCTGGCGAATGTGTACAGTGTTCAGCCGTTCTCACCGTAGCGAGGTGTTCCTCTCGTTTCACACTACCCGTTCATTACGTAGATTTGTGCGTGTGTCCGCGCTTCAATGGAGGCCTTCCTCACGAGTTCGATTTCGTCGATCGCCATGCATTGTCGCCCGCGGCGGGGTCCGCTCTCTCTTTTCCATTCTTCTTTCGCGATGCGATTTCCCATTCCCTTTGGTACTGTCCGATGCTTGTCGATGCGACCGGCGGTAACTCTTTCCTCTACCCGTGGGAACGGTGATCACCGGGTGAGTCTTGATCCATCTTCTTGCCCCTTTTTGGGCGGTTTGCCGACGTCCCCTAGTACGGTTTCGCCATTTTTATCAATAACAAACATAAAAAAGGGTGACAAGGAGGGGACGGTGGTTGTGTCAATAGCGGGGGCCCGCACTTACCGGTTAGCCGGTTTGTTTTCGCGAAGCAGGGTGGACCTCAAAAAGAGACTCGCCTTGCCCTCTTTCTTTCCTGGCGGTCTTTCTCCTTGTGGTGGTTCGACGGTCGCGCGGGCGATGGCGTCGCCGTGCGAGAGAGTCAGTGTGTTTTTTTCTATTAGGTGAGCTCCCCGTTGGGGGGTTCGTATGCAAACAATTGTTTGCAAGGTGGGGGAGGAAGGCTTGGTAAGATCCTTCTCCTTTTGGGGTTTGCCACATCATGAGATCGGCGCGTGGGTCGTGTGACAACAGACATGGCGATTCACACGTCTTTTCTCGTACACCCGTTCGTTGTGCGCTTTTGTCCCTAAGTCCACGCACTGGTTTCTTTCTTCATTCTCGAAGGACCACTCTCCCTTGCCATTTTGCCTTTGGGAGACCGTCTTCTCGACATCAGCTTGCGTGTGGTTAATTCCAGACGGTCGACAGCTGCAAACGTCCGCGATCAGATGTGATGACCCTATAAAATTACGTTCGTGCTTTGACGATATTTTCTCGCCTCCTTGTGCGGTCTTCTGTCCAGATTGCTCCCTCACTTCCACAGCGTCGTGCGGCGAGATCGGCGCACTTCTAGACACGGCTCAGGATTCATTCCCCAACGAGTCAACCTCGGCTTGGCACTTTTTGTGAGGCCAAGACAGACGCCTTGCCATAGTTTCCTTCAGCAATCATCAACTCCCCTTTGGTCTTCCGGACCCTTCGTATCGGCGCGTGTTCCATGTTCCGTTCTCGTGAGTAGAAATAGAATTTGGCAATGGAACTGAGGAAACACGATAAAAACCAAGGAAACAACCGGATGGGAAAAAAACAGAAAGAAAAAGGGTGGGGCTTCGGACGACGAGGCTCCCTGTGAAAATGTTCGCGGTTCGGTGCAGGGAGGTGTGCGTAACGACGCGTACGCGGTCATCTCGTAGTCTCCCTGAAATCGGTTCATGCGGACTACTGTTCTCGCTCGTCGAGCGTAGATTCCTCAATTTGTGGGACGCACCCGACATGCCTGAAACGAGTTCAACGACGCCGTTGTGTGATGTTGTTGGCAGCGTCCTGTGCGATTGACGGTGACTCCGTCTCTGGGAGACCTCGCATACTTGGGCTGCCAGTTGTGCTGACGACAAACCCTTCCTGCGCAACCAACGAATACGGTGTGTTCCCCTTAATTTTGATCAAATTTTCGAAGGTTGACCAATAGTTCGCTTTCGCTTTCGTGGTCAGCCTAACAGCTCTCTACCGGCATCCATATAATATTTTTTTGATTAAATCCCGCCCCATGACGGCGGATCATCGATCCAGGCGTCACTTCACGTGTGCGCGGCGGCCGCGTGTGATCGTATCGACGGAGGTAAATTACCTCAGCCTGACAGTGCAGTGGTGCTTCAATTTTTCAGTGGGGCGGCGCACGTCTCTCCATTTATGTGCGGAACCCAAAAGTAAGATTTCCTGACTTATTACACTCCCCCTTCTCCATTTCTTGACCTTGCAACGCTCTCCGTTCCACAGGTTGCAGGCCGTCGCACTAACTTCCACTTGTGCGTCTCCTCATAGGAACTATCCTGCTTGCGCTTCCGCGACTTGCGGTGGCAGCTGTAGTTTCTTCCGTCGGAAGTATATAACAACTGTGCTGCGAGGTAGGTGTTCGATTGGATCTCACGTCGCGTCCTCGGGCGTATAGCAGTACCATTTCACCAGGAGAGTTAAGTTCTCCTCGTCGTAGCCGTGGTCCACGATCTGGTCGATCACACACTTCTGCCTCTCGGCTCCTTCTTCCTGCGTGTCCAACTGTCCTTCGCCCTTCCAAAGAGCTAGCGGCTCATCCTCATCCTGCTCTTCCGAACCTCCCATCTCTTGGAGGGCGGGCGGGATGCCCGCAGCTTCCTGATTTACCACCGGTCCGTCATCCGTCCTATCCTTCGCTTGCGCGGCCGGTTCTTCTCGTTCCCCTTCTCGATTGAGGAACTGTAGCGCTTGTGTAGCCGGATTATCGGCGTGTAGTCCATGGGACTAGGGGCTAATTCGACTCTATCTCGCGACACGCGCTCTTCTTGGTCCCCGATGGCAATGACGACCGTATTCTCAGTTGAATCCTTCACTTGACACGGAACCGTAGCCACTTGTGCCAACTTATGTTTCGGCTCGGTGGCCGTGCCTTGCTCCTTTCGAAGGAATACGTATGATCCTGAAGTGATGTCATACTTCGGCTTGCGGAGCCTTGCGTCAAAGTTTCGCTTGTAGCGCGCTTGTTCTTTCCGCAAGCTCTTATCAGCGCCTTTCATCAGGCTTTCCAACCAGGACTGCCATTTCAGGTAGTACGCTTGATTCGAGCTAAATCCTTCCAAACTTGGCTGTGTTTGCAACGCAATGCTTGTCGGCCCCCGAGCTAACTCCAGCTCGAAGGGCGCGATGTTCGTAGTTCGATGAACTTGCGTGTTGTATGCGAACGTCACAGCGTCGCTAAATAGGTCCCAGTCCTTGGGATGCTCTCTAACATATTTTCGCAACGCGGAAGTCAGCGTGCGGTTAAACCTCTCGACCTGGGCGTTGGCTTGCGGGTGGTACGTAGTCGTGAACACATTGCGCATGCCGAGAATTCGGCAGACGTTCTCAAAGAACCGGGACGTGAACTGTGTTCCATTGTCGGACAGCAGCTTGACCGGCGGTCCGTACATGAATACCCAATGGTGAACGATGGCTTGTGCGATGTGCGCAGCTGATATCTTCTTCAACGGTACGGCTCGTACCAGTTTCGATTATCGATCGCTGATCACGAGAATATACCGATTTCCTCGTTTAGTTGTAATTAGCTCGCCGAGGATGTCGATGGCGACAAACTCCAGCGGAGCTTTGGGCGTGAACAGCTTCATTTCCTTCGTGTCTCTTCTTAACTTCACCCTTTCCCGCGCACATGCGGCGCAATTCTTCGCGACTGCGTAGCAGTCTAGGACCATCGTAGGCCAGTAAAAATATCTTCTCAATGTCTTGTAAAGTTTCCTGCCTCCCGGGTGGCCTGCCAATTTTGCGTAGTGGCTCAACCCTAGGAAGCGGTCCCTTAACGATTGTGGTATCACCACATGTACAAACTCCGTTGCGGTACGGCATAGAGTTCCTTCGAGTTCCTGGGTCTCCATGCTGAACGTTCTCACCATTCCGGCGTCTATTTCTTCCTTGATGCGATTACAGAAGGGGTCGACGGCTTGCTCGCGAATGAGCTCCTCCGGAGTGACAGCTTGGAAGTGATCGAGGCGATGAGAGGCGGCCCCCCCTCAAGAGCGAGGATGTCGTCTAACGCGTCGAAACTGTCCTCGTCCTCCACTGTTCCGTCGGCCGGTTCGGCCATAAAGCATGGGATTTCGTCGTCGATTTCGTCGACGGTTTCTCCTGCGGTCCGTAATCTTGACAGGGCATCAGCTTGGCTGTTGGCCTTGCCCTTCTTGTACTTGATTTCGAAATCAAATTCCGAAAGGCGGAGCCTCCATCGGATTAATCTCTCGCTGCGGTCGGTTACTTTCATCAACCACCTCAATGGGGCATAGTCGGTATGCAAAATGAAGTGCTCGCCATATAAATATGTTCTTAAAGTCTGTACGGCCCAAAATACCGCTAGACATTCTTTTTCTGATACAGAATAGTTTCTCTCGGCTGCGGATAACGTTCTTGAAAAGAACACCATGGGTTTACGTTGCGCATCCGGATGCGTTTGAAATAATGCAGCGCCGATTTGATAGTCGCTTGCATCGGTATCTACCGAGTAGGGTAAGTCCTTCTTCGGCAGCGCCAACACCGGTGGCGCCAAGATAGCGTATTTGAGCTTATGAAAAGCTTTTTCGCATGGTTCGCGGAATCCTTCCAACTGGACCGGTTGTCCTTTCTTCAGTAGTTGGTTTAGAGGATGCGCAATTTTCGCATAATGCGGAACGAACCTGCGGTAGACATTGCAAAGTCCCAGGAAGCTTCTGAGCTGTGTCTGCGTTTGGGGGTACCTCACTTGTTCCAATGCGGCGGTTCGCGCGGCGTCAACTTCGAACGTACCTGGCCGAACGACGTGGCCCAGGTACTTGATCTTTTTGACGAAACGTTCGCACTTGTGAAGCTTGAGCTTCACACCTGCCTTCTCCAATACAGACAGTATTTCGTCAACGTGGACGATGTGCTCCTCCCAGGATTTGCTGAAGATGATGGTATCATCTAGATATATCAGACAGCATTTCCAACGGAACGGAGAGAGCAGGATATCCATGGCTCTCTGAAACGTCGCTGGGGCGTTGGTAAACCCGAAGAGCATTCTTGACAATCGGTACAAACCTGAGTGACAGGAAAATGCGGTTTTGTCCCGATCGCTTTCGGGAATTGGCATCTGCCAGTACCCTGAGATCGCGTCCAACGAGGAGAAAACCTTGTTGTCACCAAGCGAGTCCAGGCACTCGTCCATGTGCGGCAAAGGGTACGTGTCCTTCATCGTCACCGCGTTTAACCTGCGGTAGTCTACGCAAAAGCGCATTGAACCGTCCGGCTTGGGCACTAATAAAACGGGCGACGCCCCATTCTGACTGCGCCGGTTCGATGACTCCTGCTTCTAACATATTCTGTACTTCTGCGTCCTCGACCTCCAAGGGTCCCATCCCACATCTTGGAGTATTTCTTCAACATCCGTCGGAACCGCTCGCGCAGCCGTTTCGGCACGTGGATCAGGTCGAGGTCCTCCACGTCCGGCGGTGGGGGCTCAATCCGCTGCTCCGGCTTCGACGATTCTGCCGCAGAGAGCCCACTCAACCGTTCTTCTGGCTAGTCCTCTCGCGCTTGATCCGACGGTTCGCATCTTGTCTCGCCCGTAGGCGTCTTGGTAGAATCAGGAAAATTTTCCTTCTTCCTTTCTTGAATCCTGAGAACTTCACCAATGGTGGTTTTGCTCTCAAGCACGGCCCTCGGGTGCGGTAATAATTCTGCCACCACTTGGCCTTTTTGCGCCCTGACAGGGTACGTCCTAAAATTCGCAACGAGTAGACGAAATGGCCTGTCAGGCTCAACCTGAACGACACCATTCGTGCGCGTCAACCCGTGCCTTTCGTACAAAGACGAGTACGGCTGAACCACAACCAAGCCCGCCCTCTTCGAGGTGCATTCCACGACGCGTTGCGTCCCTGGCTCGATGGTCGTGGCTCTTGCCACTTTTACCTTAGGGGAAATTCGCTCCCCCTTTCCATCATTCTCGTCCTCTCCCGGGACGAGATTCTTCTTCCCTTTTCTCGTCGAGAACCGCCTAACTATCGGAACCTCCGAGAAATCCGCCAACTCAACCATTTTCTTCCTTGGATAAATTGCTTCCAAAAACCGGTCACAGTAGTCTGCGCCTAGAATTAGCGGGACTGCTAGTTTTTCGCATACAATAAACTCGGCTGCGGCCACAAATCTTCCAAGCGTCACAAGCATTTTAATTGTGCCGAGAGTCCGGAGTGGCCTATTGTTCGCGTCGCCAATGTCTTGGGTCGGTCTGTTGGACACCAAAAGTTCCATTCCTGCCGGAAGTTCCGACCTCCGAACCAAATTCGATCCGGGACCTGTGTCCAACAGGGACAACACTCGACTCATCAATCCGACCGTTGGTCCAATATCCGTGTATACTTTGTAGTTTTTTCGCGCGAGGACCAAAATCTTTTCAGGACATTCTTGTCGCTTAACCCTGTACCAGGGCATACGAAGTTGATCCGTCCGACGATCCTTGTCTCGACTTAGAATTTTCTTGACAACAGTTGGCTCCTTCGGCCTACTCCCTATTTCAACTACCTCCTCGTCGAGGCCTTCCCTTTTTGCTAGAGACGGGGAACGGGACTGAGTCCCGGACGCAGTACGTTGGACCTGCGCCTGTCGTGACTCCTTTGAGACTCCCCTCTCTAGTTTCCCTGCGGCTGTGGGTTCCTTCTCACGTCCGACGATGCGGGCCGC